CAGTTTACCAAATGATTATATGATTAAATTGGCACGGTGTATGGTGTCTGTCTGTGTGTGTGTTTGAGAATAAAAGATTCTCAAACTTAACAAGCGTATAAAAATCAAATGGAACAAGAAAAAAGCAAAAAGAACTGATCTATTTAACAACAAAAATCTGCTATTTTCCCTCTTTTTTTCTCTTTTTATTGCTAATGATGATGATGATGCTGACGATCAGTAGTAAAAGAGAGAAAGAGAGGACAACAATAAAGTAAATGATGAAAAACGTTTCTCTTTTTTTATTTCTCAATATTGTCCGTACGTGGATACTATATTGATGGAAAAGTCGTGTTAAAAATACTTTTTTTTATTTTTAAAAAGTGAAATTAGAAAGTACAGCCTCTTACGCTTTTTTCTACAATTAATGAAAAAAAAAATAGAGAAGAAGAGAGAGAAAGTTCTCTCTTGATACCAAAAACGGGTATCATATTATTTCAAAGTGAAAAAAAATGAGACAAATTATTTTTAAAATAAACTATAGCTCTTCTCTCTCTTTACTATAATATTACAGAACAAGAAACTTGAAATATTGTTTGTTATTAGGAGTTAGACACGAAACGACAAAAAAACGATCAAAGATAGAAAAACATAATTATTTTCATAATGAAAAAAGGTGCTAATGGATTTTATCAAGTCATCCTATTGACAATAATTTGTTGGTTCTATATTTTTGAGATTCAACTAACCATTTTGTTGTTCAATGCTTCTAGCTACAGACTTTTGGAATGAAGTGAAGCTAAACTCTATCGAGTTACCGTTTATTTGAAATACGAAAATCTTAGGAAGAAGGTTAATTTAGACATTAACAATGAAATCTAAATTAATATTGCTAGCAATACTAATGCATGAAAGTATGATAACTCATGTCATACTGGCATGTTTATCATACATGCCAATTTATGCCATTAACAAATAGTAAAAATATGATTTAGTTCTCTCTCTTCACTTTCAGAGTTTTAGAGATTTTAAGATAAATTATCAGAAATTCAGTGGTGAATTCTACTCAAATTCTATTTTTCTAGCTCAAATTGGAACTAATGCATCACTGAAATGATAATAAAGCCTCAGAGAAGATCAAGAGATAAATTACAATGTGTTACTTCAGCATACACACACACACACACACAATTGGGAAAAATATCTATTGAAAAAGAGAATTTTATGTATACACTATTCCTATTTCTCTTTTGTACTTTTACTGCCAACTATATGGACCATATAGATTGATGTAAATGCTTGCGGCAAATATTTAATAAACATTATAGTGTTTTTGTCTATACTCTAATAAATGTTTTCTTCTTTTCTTTTCTTTTCTTTCTATTGATAATTAAGTGAACCAATTTAAAGTCGTATTTTTTTCATGTTAGTATACTATTAATAAATTTACTTACCACCATGTTGTATGGACGTATTACGAACAAATATTCTATCAGGTAATGCTAAGGTGCTTTTTCCCATATATAAGTAAATTTTATATAAATATTAGAAAAAAATAATGTTGTTTGTCTATTCTAACAACCTATTTAATCACATCTAAAATGACAACAAAAAACGGATAATATTGCTTTTGCACAGTAGAAAACTAATTAAAGCTTATCTTTTCGGTAAACAAAAATAAATATATCACACTAAACGCCTAAAGCTAAATAGCTTAACAAGTGCAAAATACACTTGTAGTAAGTGTGAGTTGAAGTGGAATTATAGAGCATTCATTGATGAATTAAAAACGCTCTATTGTTGCTTAACAATATTTAAATGACTACTGTTGAGTACTAAAGTTAAATAAGTGATCTAGTCAAAATACGATTGTCATTGACCTCGTACAAATAATTTTGAAAGGACATAAGACTTAAAATCGGCTCACCAATTTTTATCGCTTCAATCTGTTCAAAACTCATCAGAATCGCCCTTCTGAGCGCTTTCGGTGCCTGGTAGGGGCCTTTGTGAATTTAATACTGGATTTTTCCATAGGGAGTGGCTATGTCAGTGCACATAACCAGCATCGGATCTCCTTGGAGCCCCCAAACACTGCACATTCTGACGTTTTTTGAGTGCATAGTTAATTTTTTAGTGCTAGGCAAAAAAAGCCTGGAAATCCTAGTTTTCATAAAACTTGAATCCGCCGGATTTCTGGATTTTTTTTAAAAACAAACATTGAGGAAAGATTTAGCGTTGTCGATTTACCTATGTTTCATGTGATTCTAAGGCTACACGAAGTCACCGAGTACAAGTCCTGCGACACCAAGGAGATCCGACGCTGGTTAGGTGCACTGACACAGCCACTACCTATGGAAAAATCTAGTATTAAATTCACAAAGGTCGCTACCAGGCTTCGCTACCAGGCTTCGCTACCAGGCTTCGCTACCAGGCTTCGCTACCAGGCTTCGCTACCAGGCTTCGCTACCAGGCTTCGCTACCAGGCTTCGCTACCAGGCTTCGCTACCAGGCTTCGCTAAGTTTCTTATTAACGTATATTGTAGAACTTTTCAAGAGGTATCGAATGATGTGTTGCACTAGGCTAAATACTTGATAGTTACCGAGAAATTTCGCTTTTACACTCATACTGTTGATGCTAAGGGGTTGTTTGTTTTCGAGTAGATTCTATCGGTTATGTTCAATCGAAAGCGTTCAGAAGGGTCGAAATCATCGAATATGATGATTTTGATGAGTTTTTAACAAATTGGGACGATAAAAGTTGATGAGCCGATTTCAAGCCTTATGAGGATTTATCCTTTATCAATTACATTATAACGAAGAATATTGACCGTAAGTTAAAGTGTCATATCAATGATAAATAAGTAAAAATATAATTATTTTTGTTTACTTCAATAACAGTTTTCATTTCAATAAACAAGAACACGAAAAAGAACATAAAGATAAAAAATTATCTTCTCAATGAAAAATGAATAATCATCTATGGCTGTCAAACAAAAAAATTAAATTTGACGAAACCAGTTTGAACTACATTCCGTTGTTTTTGTCATTTCAGTGAAACAAAAAAAAGAGCTAATTTCTTGACTGGATATTATTTTTGGCAGCGAACTGAATACTATAGATGTAAAATATAGCATAACAATATAGTGGTTAAATATTTCAAAGCGAAAACATCTATAATACAGTTCAGTGTCATTTCCATATATAACACACACCAAAATCTTTCCATTTATTTTCATTGTTTTGCATCGAACTTAAAACAATTGTTCTAATCGCCACTGTAAACCCATTTTCATCATACAAATGCTCTTAAGAGCGATCACTAATTATAAAATAATCAAGATATCAAGCATTACTTTATCACTTATCTGCCGAAAAATAACCGGTACGGTACAAGTATAAAACGTCGTCAATGTCAGCGGGCTATATATGACGATATAAATCAATAAAGCCTTAAAAAATAGACAAAAACTATCTAAATACGAGAGAAATTAGCGAATAGTCTCGTTTTTAATGAATAATACTCTGTATATAGTGCTGTATTCACTTCGTGTGGCGTCCGCATGTTTGCTACTCACCATCGTCCACGATTTCCAAAAAGTTGTCTTGTTCTTTTGAAAAATCACTTATTTTTAAATTAGTCAGATCCGTCGATTAGTATATAACTAAACAAAATGTCATTAAATAGAAAATAGAATAGAATACCCGTTCTTTTCTTACCATTCAAATTTCTATACAACTTTATTTTGTCCAATTTTTTCCAATACAAATGAAACGCGTCACTTCACTGTTGAGGATAGAGTAAACGAATAAGAAAGATGTGTGAATTGATCACATTCTTAGTCCACAAAAAGTCAGCTATATTTACAATTATCGAGTTTCCTACCACTACTAGAAACGTAACATGCAACAAAATCACTCCTATTTTCCCAGCATTAATGTCAAATGTGACTTTGACTAACTCTTGCTGTGTCAATAAAAGCCAACACCACTTACATCATCTAATAACCAAATAACTTTTATATGGATAGCCTAGGTTCATTTATAAATCGAGAAGTTGCAACTAGAATTGTTGGATTAAGTATTTATTGAGAATGGTGTATGTAAAGGTTATTCTTATTTTTCTTTAAAATCTTTCTACTAACACTAAGTAAACCTTATGCGTAGGCGACGTCAAATGTCCACGTATACTCGACTCTTTATACTTGAAAACACATAATATCGAGTGTTTCATGTTGAATATAACTGAGGCTACTATTCAAATGTCATAAATGTACAACATTATTATTTCATGAGTTTATCTCGAGAATTATATTTTCATTTTTAGCTGCGAGACGATCAGATATTTTTTAATACTATTGCTCTTGATGTTGCATGTACCTGTTGTGTATGACTACCTTCTTTCATCTCATCAGTGACAAAGACATTTTTTCAGTGGTCTAAATGAAAGAAAAACTCATTTTATAACGGAATTATGGTTGAATTTGTAAAAACTTACTTTTGATACCACTTGCGTCTTTTCTTTCTTTGACTTCATTTCTCATTCTCTTCTTCATTGTGCTGAAGTTTCAGTTCCATTGATAGATAACAGTCGTTATTGTAGTTTTAGATTCATTGCTATTATCCATGACTGGCATACTTTGCTACTATTGCTGTTGTTAATATTATTGTTCATCATCATCGACACTATTAACATCTGTCTGAACAATCGCTTTTCTTGGACTTGATCTCCTGACTACTTTCACACACTAGTTTTAGTTTTCTTCAGTGGAATTTGGTATAGAAAATAATGGTAAAACGAAAAAAATCGGCTAAAATTTGAATTGTTTCTTAATGAAAAACAGAACAGTCTCATACATCTGTTCTAAAACTGTTTTTCAATTTTATTTACAAAATAGCCTATAGTTACAAAAAAAAAAGTGACGTATCTAATATAGTTAAAAAAAATTGTTGGTATGAATAGTCTTATTCGGGAGAGAGAAAAAAAAGTAAATAGTTTACATTTTAAATAATTATCATTCCAATCACTCTGCTTCAAAATACCATAGTTTTCGTCTTCCAAATTTCGTTCCCGTTACCGCTTCCGGATACTTATCAGCATCAGCAGTTGTTGGTGGATCTGGTAGTTCCATTTTTGGTTTCACTCGATTTAGTGTACCCATTGTAAATGGATCACTTGGTACTGATCTTTTTGAATCATGAAGACGAACCATCGAAAAATAACCCAGTTCAGGGCGCTCAATTCCAATCTTATCTTTCGCACATAATTCAAATTCATGTTGTTGTGGTTTACAACTAAAATTAAATAAAAAAAAGAGAAATGATAAAACTTATCTTTTATACATCTTTAGCTATAGATTACTGATTAAAATCCATTTGTCCATTAAGAGTCTAACAAATAGAAAAAAAAGAATTGGTATTTTCTCTCAAAATAAGGTTTCTCAATTATATACTTACATGATCAAGACAACTCCAATATGTTGTAAATGAATCATTGCATGTATCGCGAACTTTTTTAAAAAAATCAATTGCACAAAGAGACACGGCTTTTCCTTCTTTCAAACATTTTCGAGGATCTTGTTCTTCTTGTCTGCATAAAACATAATAGCTTTTAAGCATCAGGACACTATAAGAGTGTAAAATTTGAACAGTAATATCGTTACCTGCAAAGCATAAACTCCTAAAAAAACCAAAAGACAATCCAATGTACGAACGTGTGTAATAATTTACAAAAAAAAATTTAACATACCTTAAATTGAAAATCACAATATTTTGCCATGTGAAATGAGCCTGCTCGTAAAACAGGTGATGATACATTCACATACGGACATTCAAGTTCTTCGTATGTAGGTATATGTGTTTCATGAGTAAAAGACATCTGAAATAAACAAACATTCAGCAATTTCTTACCAAGATAATGTTCATTATAAGGAGAATTCCATCTAACTTTTATCCATTAAAGACAAAAAAAAAATATTCGATACATTAGTAGTAGCATACAACAGCGCTTGATCAAACGCTGTATAATGAGAAACATCCTTCTTTCATTCAGTTCTCCAGTACGCCGTCTTAGATAAAGAATCAATCCCAAACAAAAAATATCTTCTCAATAAAAAAGAAGAACGTTTAGTCCTTCTATATTTATTCTCGAATATTTTAATTTAACATTATCACACGCACCAAAAGGCTATTGATCAATTCACAAAGACACACGCATAGATAAAGATTTTCCAAATATATTCACATAAAACGGGTATATTAAATATTCAAATTGAAAATAAAGCAAAAACAACAATAGCAGAGAAAGAAAAACATACGAAAAGAAACAAGCAATGACATTAGATGTCTCCTAGTCTAAAAACAAACGAATAAACATTCTTATCTTTTACATAATTGCAAAAATGACAGAGTAACTAATTGTGAACACCACGAGACGAAAGATAACAAAATAAAAAAAGTTGCAACAACAACAACGTTATAACAAAAGAAAACATACTGCTGCGTTTTATTGACCAGCACAAAGAAATGACCATTCGCAGACTTAATTTCAATGTGGCAAGGAAAAATTCACACATTTGTTTGTTGTGCTGCAATGGTATCAAAAACTTGATCGGGACAAACAAGAAGTTGTACAACACGTGCCAAACGAACAGTATTTTTACTTTCAATTATATCTTGAGCTGTACAGAGTTCAACCTACACAAAGGAGAGAAAACAAATAGCGAAGTCAAAATGCTGCAAAACGCCTTCTCATGCAAATATATTTTTAGTTATAATCCCATGCACATTCAGATAAAAAAAAATTGCTAGTAAATAGGATCCATCTCTTTTTACAAAGATCTGTTAATAGCTGTCTCATCCTGGAGTCGATTTTTACGTTTGAAAGTATTGGTTTTCAAATTTTTTAGTTTATTGGACGAATACCACACAGACATAAAGAGAAATATATCATATGTTTGGCGATATCGAAACAGAAGTTGAGTATACAGTTCCAGTACAGAGGGAAAAGAAAGTTTTATTAATAAATTGATCAAATTTACACGTCTGAAAAGACTATTTTAAGCATTTAATTGAAATCTAACTGATTATATAACTTAAAAAAGAAAACAAGAGGCGAAGATAAATTATAATAAGAGAAGTAATAACAACAAAAATGGGAAAATTTGCCAGATGTTTATCCGGTGATTGATAATTTTCCTTTGTATTGATAGAAGAAGCAGATGAAAATGTCAGTATACTGTAACTTCGTTCGACTGAATAATGAGATATTTGTAACAGAACATCGGTTAGTTTACATGAACAAAGTTGAACAGCCATGTAAATAAGCGTATGATATTATATAAGTAATCTAACACGCTCACACATGTTTTTTCTCTCCTTTAGAAAGCTAACTATGAGCGAGAAAAATCAAACAAGCAAACACAACTACAAATAATACTCACGTCTGGAACACCAATTCGACGACTTGCATCAATAAAATTTTCAACATTACGTCGACATTTTGCCAATGATAATTTGGGCTAAATAGAAAATATAAACTCAAAAAGAAACTTTTTTTTTGAAGAATCATCGAAATATGAGAGTCTATCAAATGTACGTACAACTGCTTGAGATGGTACGTGTATGTGAATACTTTGTACGGCACGTGGTCTTATCTGATTAACAAAATGACAAAGAACAACACCATCGCTTAATGCATGACCAACATCTTCCGGTAATACTACTTTAAGCCGAGTTTCAATCGTCTAAATATTAAATTAATACAGCAATATTTTATAATTTTACCATAACTATACGTATAATATAACATAAGTTTACCTTTCGCAGTTGTTCTAGTGCTAAGTTGTCTTCTTTCGCTTGAAGTAGATGTCTTCGTATTGTGAATGCTGGATTTGCGCCAGGATACTCGAGTGGTGATGTCTGAGAATTATTCGGATTATTGCTGTTTCTTTTGCAATAAGGTGTTGTGTTTGTGCCTGTTGTGAAAAAAAATCAAAGCCAATATGAGTAAACATAATAAATTTTCATTCAAAACATACTTCTTGGTTGCATATGGAATCCCGGAATGTCACTGGTAAAACTCTAAATGCAAATGAACAAATGGTTGTATTAACGTAGCATAACAAAGAAGCCCTTACTTGATTAACTAATGCTGTTTGACGCTCTTCAAAATATCGCAATTTAGCAATTTTAGCTTCTTGAAAATGGGAATCGATTTGCTGTGGCGAAGCTTCGACCAGATCCTATAAAATATAAATCTAAGAAAACGCTGCCTAAGAATATAACGATTTATTTACCGAACGCTGTAATTGTGGTTTCGGACGATGACCATTCATATTTCGTGGGATATTGACAGACTGTTCAATTCTTGTAGCGCTTAGATTTGATGATGATAATCCAGAAGATCGAGATAATGTTTCAACACGACTAGGAGGATAACTGCCGCTAAAATAAATAAATACAACAGTGCTATAAAGAAGAAAATTAAAAATACATACGATGATCGATCAATTGTATCTGAACTAGATGTAAATTGTTTATTGATTGTGTCACTTGGTGGGGATGATAATTTGTGATTACTTCCGTTTATATGAACAATTGAATGATTAACATTTGAAGGTAGTGGATCTCCACCAGCGATTAAATTCGGTTCAACACTAACAGCACGATTTGATCTCATTAGCAGTTCGCCGACCGTTGCATTGTCAATTGATATCGATCGCTGATAAGTTGCTGTAGTCGAAGACAATGTCGATGGGGATTGCGAACCCGTTGTAGGACAAGTGGTAGACATTTGCCTTCCAAGATTTACTGTTGCACAATTTTGTCTTATCGTGGTGGGCCAATATCTAAAGGAATGAAAAATAATTAAATTTTTCGAAAAATGATAAAAAAATACAACATATACCTTTGTTTCTCGTACAGATCTTCTTTTGATGATAAATTGAACAACTGAACATTTCTATAATGTAGAAGAACCAATCAGTTAGCTCTCACAGGTTAAAAGTAATGTACAACTTTACCGGCTTTCCATTTTTCTTCTCGCATCTTCCCGTTGTTTTTCCATTAGCGCTAATTTTTCTTCATGAGCACGTCGAGCAATATCTCGTGCCTTTTCTCTCTAGAAGAATGAAAAATTGAACTCATCCAACATGTAATACTATGCGAACCTTACTTGTGTTTCCGTTTCTCCTAACTGTTGTAGTAGATGTCGTTTTAACTGTTGCGCTTGAAATTTTTTTCGTTCGTAATCGGCTTTTTGTCTTGCCAATTCCTGTAAAAGAGCAAAACGTATCAGAAATTCATTTTTACGGAAAAGTAAAAGCAATATAAATTACTTTTGAAAACTCATCAGCAAGACTTAGCATTAGCGATGGTTCATTTCTTGTTGCCTGATCTGCTTGGATATTCAAACATGAATCATCCTTGAAGGAAAAAAGAAAAAGTGTAAGCAAAACTGAACAAAAATTTTTTTCATCCCTTTCACATACATCACCCATTGTTTTTTCGCTGCCTTCAGTTGTTAAATAACCAGAATCCGACGAGGCAACGGTTTTTCTTCCACGTTTTCCACATTGTAAATGTCTATAAATAAAACGAACGTGCAAAAACAAACAACTTATACTTTTGTAGTAATCAATAACCTTGAGCCTTGATAAGAAAATGAATTTCTATATTTTGCATTTATTTCATATTCTGTTAGTAAACCACGACGTTTTTCTTCTTTCATTGCTTCAAATAGTAAATACCTCATTATATGAAGTAGACCGTTTGTGCAAACCTTAAAATTAAAGTAAATAGCAAAGTGCAACAAATGAAGACTGTTTTTTTAAAACTCACTACAGCTGGTGGGAGTTCTAGTGGATTATGTTCGACATTCAGTTCAATCAATGTCACCATTTCTCGTAAACCCAAGGGTAAGCGAATAATACGATTGTACGCACAATCAAATTGGATTAATTTCAGAAAACATAGTTCTAAATAAAAACATACGGATAAGAAAAAGTATAAATGGAAAAAAGTAGACTTGGTTAGTATATTGAGATTTCTCGCTTGCATTTCTTTTAAGCATGTAAGTGAAGTCTGCGAATTTCACATGCGTTATGATCAGGAAATTGTTAAAGTGATTGATCAGCAAAAATAAATCATATTAATTAAGTCGTAATTTGGTGCAAAAGCGCGTGTTTGTTTGTTTATTTTTCATTAAGTCCCAAATGATATGACAACAAAAAATTCAGTCATAGAACCCCAAAAGCAAGATCGAAAAATAGTCCGAAAAAAATAGAAGAAAAATAATAGTGTCTACACTTGTTTTTACCTTTCATCATAATTCAAAACTGAAACTGTAAAGAAGACTATTTTGCTTATCTATTTGACTTAAATATAATCTTTTTTTATATTCTTACCTGGTGGCAATTCGACAATCATATTTTTTCTAATATTTAACGTTCTCAGACATGGTAATGACCCAATTTGAAACGGTAAATGCGTAATATCGTTGCAACTAACATCCTGGAGTATAGAAAATGTAGCTAATTTTCAAAAAGATGAAATACAAAGAGGAAAAGAATCTATTTTATGCTAAATAACACACTGACATACATCATGAAAACGTTTCAGTCTTTTATACTGGTTTAAATTCAGACAAAGAAAACAACAACATACCAGTTCTATCAGTCGTTCGAGTTGACCGATTTCTTCTGGTAATGATACCAGTTTGTTGTTATTAATAATAAGAACTTCGAGATTGAGCAGCTTACATAGTGGAGGAGGCAAATAGGATAGTTGATTTCGACTGAAAGACAATGATAAACAAATGTTTTTGTGTTACGTTATATTCTTTCTACTTACCTTAGATCAAGTATTTTCAATACACGGATTTTCACAACTTGTTCAGGTATAGATTTAATTACATTGTTATACAAGTTCAGTCTTTCAAGCGAAGAAAATGTACATAATTCACGTGGAAATTCTGAAAAACGATTCTTTGACAGATCTGAGAAAGAAAAGAAAATAACAGCAATAAAAATGTCAAAGTTTTTCTCTTGTTTTCTATATAAAAAAACGGACATAACTTGAACGTACCCGCTACAACTGTATCCTTTAAATCCCATTTATCACCGATACGAGGAAATTCTCTTAATTTTCGTCCATTTAAATTCAATTCACTCGTACTTTGAGCTTCATCAAATGTTCGAAAGAGACTGCGATTAAATTGACTTATACTGGTTGCATGTTTATTGTCCGAAACAACACCATTCGCCATTCATTACTAACATTCATTCGTTGAAAAATGAAAGATAGAAACAAAACTTCTTTGCACAATTAAAAAATACCTAGAACAAAGATTGAAACAAATATAACGGGAAATAAAAGAGAACAGGCGAATTAACGAATTTTTGTGATATCGAAATGTAATGTTTAGGTAATGTTTTTGTTGTCAATTATGAAACCTATTATGTTTAGCTATTCAGCTAAAAGTATGTGATAAAAAATGAATAGACATGATTTATTTCATTCTAACATTTATGATAAAAAATAGAACAAAATCGCCTACAAGCGCTCGATGCCACTGCTTTAGCCTGTTGTTATTATGAATACTAATGTTACTCTCAATGATCATGATTTCAAAAATTCCAAAACTTTCGCAGCACTCCTCTTTTTTCTCATTCAAACAAGTAGCGAACGGTTTTTTTGCAAATCTGTAACACAATATTCAACGTTATATTCAACACTTTAACTTTATTACAAAATATTCTTATCAATCCTTAAGTTTGTTGAGAGATGAGCCTTTGTCTTTATTTCTAGTGAGGTACAAGAAGGCAACAGCTATTTTATAGCTTAAACATCAGTTATCTAGAACCGAATTCGCTCAAGCTCATAGACATTTTAATCAGAAGGCTTTTTCTTTAGCATAGCACTTTAATTCTTTTAAATCCAATCTACTCCTATAATATTTTTCATGAAATCTTGGTACTTTACGGATCTGACTGAAAATGGCAGTATATTATTATGAAAAGAGATATATTAAACAAAAACTGTTGTGAACTCATCAGAAAAAAACATTTAGCGCGCTCAGCATTTGTGATCGAAAGATGTCACAGTTGTCACATATTTGTAGAGGGCAACACACTCTGACAGATAGATTACAGATCTAGACCTACACCAGTTAAAAACAAAGTGTGCTTTAAAAAACGCGCATGTTTTTGAAAATATTAGTTATAACAATCTTGTTTTTTTATCTAAAGATAATATAAAAAACGTCATTGGTAAGAAAGTTATGCGACACTTGAAGAAATAGCAAAATCTTGGAGGGAAGGATGTAAGAGATCTTGCTTTTTTAGCTAGAAAGCTTCAGTATTTGAAGAGCCCGCTCATTAAATACTAGTGTTAACTGGAAACGTCTTTAGTGGAAAACGGGAAGAGTAGAACACAAATCACTTTGGTATGATAGTTAATTGGTGATCTTCATTTGCCTTTAATTCATTTGCCCTATGTGTTTGAATATGCTTATCATTTTTCTGCCTATTCTCCTTTTTAGAACAGGTTTGTTTGCGCTCAGAGAAAATGATAGATGGAAAGTCCACAAGTTTTGATTTTCCAAATGATTTCATGTGAAAGCTATTTTGCATCGGATTTATATTACTACGAAATCACCGGACCCATGTAGATTCGAGCAACCTTCATGAAAATTCCAGCCTTTGTTAATCGTTGGTAAGGGGTCACCTCTCAGAAAATTTTTTTTTTCTTTTTTTTGGCAAACTGGGATGAGTTCTAAAAGATGACAGCTTGGGATACTTAACTATATGCTTACTTCAGTTTCGAAGAAAAATCAAATTCCTGAGGGGTCACAGTGGGCATTCAGGCGGGTTTTCGGCCAAAAATCGAAAATGCGCGTTTTCAAGATTCGAAGAGGGGTGAATACACTTTGAAGATGGCCTATTGAATAACGAAAGAATGTTTGTTCTAGGTGCTAAGGAAAACGGGAAAACACTTACGAGGAAAGGACACTAAGTGTGGAATCGCTTTTTTTTTGAAATCTAGTGGACGATAGGTAAAATTGACAATCGTTTTAGTCCATAGGCCTCCAGAAACCTTTTTTCTGGAAAACCAGTTTTTCAGAAACCCTAGAAAATAACCAAAGCCTTTCGTAATGAGGCAAGATTGTAGCCCGCAGATTCCTGATTAGAATGAGATCTCTCCCAGCTCTACACGGTCTTTCTTTGGCTTTTTTAGAGTTTTTGAAAAACTAGTATTCCAGAAACCTGGTCTGTGAAGGCGCATCTAAGCATTAAAGTATCCAAATATTTAAGCCATTGTTAGGCCTATTTAAACTATTCAAGTATTGTTTGAGTATTATATAATCATTGTTTCACACTATTTGAATAACTGTCTAAACAGTGATTGAAAATTGTTTGAGCATTGTTTGAGTCTGGTTTAAGCACTGTCGAAGTATATTCAAATTTGTAACGTATATGTTAAGATACGGATATGCTACGTAGAAAACTTCTGAAAACGGGACGATAACTTCCTGATATTACAGATTGATCGTCTTAACACCAAATGGCGCCGGACAATCAACTCTTAAACACACACGAAAAGTTTCTAAGTCCAAAAAAACATTTTAGTTCTACTTGTGTAGGTTATCGCGCCGACTCTCGGCTTATCTTTAAAAAAACTACGTGCATTGATCAATCTCCAATGTCGAGAGATTATCCTCCCGCTTTCAGAATTTTTACGTAATGCAGTTCACTAGATCACGTCGTGCGCGTTTTGTAAAAAAAATCACTAAACACAGTGGCGGCGCGAAGAGGTTGGGAGCATGGGGGTGGTAAATCCAAAAATGGGAGTAAGGTCTCTAAAAATAAGCCCCTGACTCTCCGAGCTCATGGTGAAGTATAAATAATTGATGAGCATCACTAATTAAGTTTGCCTAAACGTTACATTCGCTGTAATTTTCTCAGACGTAGGCGGAAAAAAATAGAAATAAGTCATCTAAGTCGCTTAAGAAAGCTTCTTCAAAGAGCACATTTAATATCAGTTTTCGGAGAAAGCAGCACTTTAGTATTCGAAAAAACCAAAATCGGAGTAAATCATCCCTCAGGTTTCTCCGAAATTCGGAGTAAATCGT